CCCCTGGCGACAGCGGGTAGTAGGGGGGCAGCTCGGGGGGGTGCGGCGGCCGCGGGATCCCTGTGGGGGGAGAGGGGCGGGGAGTGGGGTCACAAGGGGGCACGGCACCCCGAGCCCCCCGAGCCCCCCAGCACCTGTCCCTTGAGCAGCCCCTTGAGCACCCATCACCCCGCTCCGAGCACCCATCACCCCGCTCCGAGCACCCATCTCCCCCCTCTGAGCACCCATCACCCCTCCGAGCACCCATCTCCCCTCTGAGCACCCATCTCCCCTCTCTGAGCACCCATCACCCCTCTCTGAGCACCCATCACCCATCAGAGCACCCATCTCCCCTCTGAGCACCCATCTCCCCGCTCCGAGCACCCATCACCCCTCAGAGCACCCATCACCCCTCTGAGCACCCATCACCCCTCTCTGAGCACACATCTCCCCTCTCTGAGCACACATCTCCCCTCTTTGAGCACCCATCACCCCTCTTTGAGCACCCATCTCCCCTCTGAGCACCCATCACCCCTCTCTAAGCACCCATCACCCCTCGGAGCACCCATCACCCCTCCGAGCACCCATCACCCCTCTCTGAGCACCCATCTCCCCGCTCCGAGCACCCATCTCCCTGCTCTGAGCGCCCATCTCCCCTCGGAGCACCCATCTCCCCTCGGAGCACCCATCACCCCTCTCTGAGCACCCATCTCCCCGCTCCGAGCACCCATCTCCTCTCTGAGCACCCATCTCCCCTCCGAGCACCCATCTCCCCTCTGAGCACCCATCACCCCTCTGAGCACCCATCTCCCCGCTCTGAGCACCCATCACCCCTCTCTGAGCACCCATCACCCCTCTGAGCACCCATCTCCCCGCTCTGAGCACCCATCACCCCTCTCTGAGCACCCATCTCCCTGCTCGGAGCACCCATCTCCCCTCAGAGCACCCATCACCCCTCAGAGCACCCATCACCCCTCTCTGAGCACCCATCACCCCTCTCTGAGCACCCATCTCCCTGCTCGGAGCACCCATCTCCCCTCAGAGCACCCATCACCCCCCTCTGAGCGCCCATCACCCCTCTAGCACCCATCACCCCTCGGAGCACCCATCTCCCCTCGGAGCACCCCGTCCGTGGCACCCGCAGCCCGTCCCAGCCCCGCTCACCCGTCTTGGGGTCGATGTCGGGCGCGAGGTGGCCGGGCGGGGACCCCGGCGGGAAGGGCTCGCTGCTGTAGGTGATGAGCGGCGTCAGCGGGTGCACGTGGTGGGCGTGCTGCACCACCGGCACCTTGTTGGACTGCGGGGAGAGCGCGGGGCAGGGTCAGCGTGGG